TCCTTTTTGAAGTGATAATTTTAGAAATCAATCTTTAGATGTTTGTTCAACATTTCCTGAATTTCAAAATCTTTCAGTTCAGTTCAGAAAGACTTATGAACTTTTGGAAGAGTCATGTTACCTTGTTTGTCTCATATTTTTGGTATGTTTTTATATTGGTGTTTGTGTATCTTTTGGGAGGTTGTTCTTCCAATTTTTTGTAAGGTTCCTTACACAATTTTGAGTGCTTGATCTCAATACCATTAAAAATGAGGACAACAAACTGCAGTAACAGTGATGACACAAAGGCAAGCCATATATTGAAAACCAATAAGAGCCTATTAAAACCAAAATTTTTACCATCAATTGTAGAAAAGAAAGTGACACAAATAATATAAACTAAATGGTTAAAAATTAATACAGGTAATAGCAATAGTAATATTCCACCTCTTCTCACTCACAGAGTCACATAGATACTACTTCTATTATGCTATCATACCCATAATTCCTATTTTCTTAATGTATATATGAACAATCATACATTCTACCTCATTTAAGCCTTTGATAAATTTATCTGATAGATTTAACCTCTAGCTGATAGATTGTCTCTCCACATTTAAGTTTCGTCTCACTAAGACTGCATGAATATTGTTATTCTTATTTTAGAAAGGAAGAAATACAAGTAAGGAATTTTAATAAGTTTTGGAGTTGGAGTTACTTAAGGCATCAGTCTCTAGAATTGGAAACCTTAAGAATACCACAACCTTGAGTTTTGTAACCTGGTATATGAGTGAAAGGAGGAAATGCAATTTATTAGACTTAAGGACCTATAAGATGCCAGACAAAATCCTAGGTACTATACCTCCAGGCAAAAAAGATGAAGTTAGGATAAAATAGACATCTATATGAGTCAAACCTTCTAATTCACATATGAAAAGAAATAGTTATTTGACATGTTAGATTGATCACTAGGACTAAATACAAACATTCAAAAATTTAATCAAAAATGAGATCATGAACTCATCTACTTCTTTATCTGACATTTGCCATATCTGACTTTGATAATAAGGTCAGTGTGTTCCTGTTTTCTTACCTGTGCCCAGATAAAACAGTTAGTACTACTAACCTCAATGTAATACAGTTTAATATCTGCTTGTACCAATCTCAGCCTCTTTTTTGCATGATTTTACTAAACACCCACATCATGAAGATTTCTGTGCTTGGATCACTGTTGTCTTCCCATGACCTTCACCATCCCCTCATCCTCTCACCTTCCTGCTGAGTGTGTTCAACTCAGCACTTCACACCCCCAGCCAAGGTCATTCAGTTTTTTCCTGCAACAATATTGATCTTTTGACAGACTTGATTTCTTCCCATTCATAAGCTTATGAACCACAGGCTCAATAATTTGTTTTGTTTTTCTTTCTCTTTTTTAAAAATTAGAGTAGGTTGTTTTATTTTTTTTTTTTGTTTGTTTGTTTGTTTTCTGGTACCGGGAATCAAACTCATGACCTTGAGCTTGCCAGGCAGGTGCTGTGCCGCTGAGCTAAATCCCCAGCCCTTTTTGGTTTTCCTTTCCTTTATTTCTTTCCTTTTGATTTTTTATAGCTTCCAGCAGTACTGTACGGTTGCATTGAAGTTTTGTCTCTGGAATTTGAGATAGGGGGTAGGCTACTAGCCCATAAATAACAGACATATTATAGAACTTGTTTATATAAGTACAATTAAAGAGAATTAATGATACAAAATATCTTAGAGGAGTAGGAGTGATAAGGATAGGTGATATTAAGAGAGCACTGGATAGTATTTTTAAATATTATTATCTCAGTAGGCCCTGAGTAAATAATCCTCTGAATAAATAATCTGCAGATGGTGTAAAGTTTTACCCTGCTTAGATTACTTGAAAAGAGTCATGTGACTATGGAGCTACTTGAATAAGGCTTTTATTTTAAGAGAAAAGATACAGTGCAAAAGAGATAGTACAGGCAAGCATTGGAAGTCAAAGAGACAGACATAAGACTCCAAGGTTCCATATATTAAATTTGAAACATCTTATCTAAATTTCCACTGCTTTTGGCAAAAAAAATCTGAAATCAGAAATAGAGAATATTTTCATTCCAGCTAAAAATCAACTTTACTCTACAGGTGCATGCAACTGGCAGAATTATTAACTATGTATTTGCACAGTAACTTTCAAAAACGTGAAGGATCTGGTGCAAAAACTAAATCAGAACAGTTTGTTGAATGACAGACTCAGTTCATCTGAAACAGAGGGCTACAGTTGTGATTAGGTCAGAGAAGCAACTCAAGCTGGGTCAGGGAGATCACGGAGGCTAGTGTCTCTCTTACTCTGGGTGAAAGGGACTCATTGGAAGATTTATAATCCAAGCTAATGCATACACAATATAAGGCTGATTTGTTGTAAACAAGCAGTACAACGGAAAGTGGAGAAGTGGAGAAATCAGTTAGTAGAGAAAGAACTGATATGGCAAGTGAGTTCAGTGAGAAAGATACTCACAAGAAAACCAAAAAGACAGGGATAAACAAAGCTTTATTGAGCCAGTTGATGGAAAGTCTCTAACCAGGAGCCAGAGAAGATGTCCATATGGATTTGAGTCTCACCTTTGGTTTAAGTACATTTTAAGTTTTCGTAGTAACCATTACCTCATTTTTTGGAATCTTACAAGAATGTTACACAATTATCACAAAATTTACTTCTCCCATAAGGTCAGACAGTTGAATTCCAAATGATCATTGCAATTTAACTTTTAGCCCACTTCCCAATTTGTCCTGTTCCCATTTTATGACTCTGCTGTACTTAGAGCTGGTTACTAACCAAAGTGAAAGGGTGAAAAGTGGGGATCAGCTACAGCTTAAGTGAACTTCAAGTGGCTTCTCTTAATATGGAGTTAAAAAAAGAAAATGGAGTCTCCCTTGCCCTGTCAGAACCACAATGATTCAGGAGATAGGGGCTATTGAGAGTGATCTTTTAGATTTTAAAGGCAAACTTTTGAAAGTCGAACCAACAGAATGCATTGACAGGTATCGCTTTTAAGAAAAACATTGTTTAGTGGTGTAAAGCAGAAGGATACCAAGGCTAACATGTAATTTCAAAAAGTATCAATATTAAATTAACAGGACTCTCTGTTTCCAAAGCTTGAGCTTTTAATACTTTTCAAATTGAGTTTTAGTTATGGCTATTGAGAGAGAAAATCAGCATAATTCATCGTGAGCCCAGATAAGTGTCTAATGTTCTATGATAAGGAATTTAGTCATCACATATATGAATAGGGAGTAGTTATTTCTGAGGTGGTGAGAAGGATTTGACATGATATGGTTTGTATTTGACAACTATTGCTGGGATGAAATAGGGGAAATGTATTCAGTCAGGACTGGACATTAAAGCCATTGCTAAGAGATGACTGAAGACTGGAGAGGTCTGTTGTGGGCAGAACTGGATAACAGGAAAAGAACAAAAACGTTTTAAGAGAAGTGACATGAGAGTCACTCATTAGAGTGGAGACCTGATGGATGTATTTGAGTTTAAGAAAAGAGAGAAAGAACTGTGTTGATCTCAAAGTTCCAGACAGAATGCATAACGTGTTTTGCCAGAAGGAACTGTGAAGCAGTGGAAGATGCATTTGGTGCAGAGGCGATGCAGTGGAGGGGAGGAAAGGATAAATTCAGTGATGAGCATGAGCATGTGGAACACCTGATGGAGATGCACAAAGAATCTTGATATCTTTTCATATTTTTGTTTTTCTTTTCTTCTATTTGCTTGTTAGTGTTTGTTTTTTCTTTCCACTGTGCAGTGTTTAGAGGCTATATAAATGAAAGTATATGTATACATATCAGTTTATAATATTTCCTTTTAATGTGGGTAACACAAATTATTCATAAAAAAGATATTTAGGATTATGAACTTTTTGCATAAGAGGTATAGATTTTTGTAGTAGAACCAATGTCTTATTATACTAGTTTACTAGGTGTGTAGTTACATTAGATAACTGTTACTAATGAAAATTCAGAATTTCTGTTCTTCTTTCTTTTACAACAGTATGCATACAACAATATGAAAAAGCCATAGCAAAGAGAAAGGATATTGTCAAGAAACTCATCTTTACCGTGCCTGATCCCACAACAACAACAACAACCATCCTGCTTTTATCTTGTTTTGTTATGGCATAAAGATTTCAATATCATAAATCAAATAAATCTGATAAAAATGTGCAAGCTTCTGTCCATGGATTCTTCCACCCACCATTATCCTTTAGTAGGAATTAAACAGCTTTGCTTTCATTTTTACCTACAAGTTGTGACATCTCAAGGTGACAGCCTTCCTTTGTCCACTGTTGAAGTCATAAAGGAAGGACCTCACAGCCCACACCTCTCAAACAGGTGAAGATCATCCTGCTGAGTCCTTTCTTGCCTTTGTGCTATTGAGAAGGATCATGGTAAAGACAGCCCCTGAGACCCCAGACCATCACTGGCATCCTTTCTAGCTTAAAGCAATTGCTCAGACTGAGTGCCTGGTGCTAAGCATCTGTTCTGTCTCCAAGTGGCTCTTCCTTGGGCCCCTGTAAATTGAGATCTGAAATACTTCTTTGTGTTTTAATGACTCCAAACTTGTTGCTCTGTCTTTACTAAAGCAGAGTGCTTCTGGGTAAGGTTTTCTTTCTCATCTTCATCTTGTGGAGATGGATATACCTTTCATGGCACACAGCACTACATGTGGATTTTAGAGCCCTCAGCCAAACCTTGAGACTGACTGCAACCTCAGTGTCTCTATCAAAAAAATAAATAAATAAATAAAAGAAATGCTCCTGGGACAAATGAGGAAGAACCTTATTGCAGCGGTTCAGAGTTCTGTTTATCAATGTCTGTCAACTGACTAAGTACTAAACAAATATGAGCACCTGTGCAATGAAATATTATGCAGCGGGAAAAGGAATGAAGCACTGAAAATGGTAACAGGAATGAACTCAGAAGCCATTACACCAAGTGAAGAGGGCAATCAAAAAGACCATGCAGCATTTTATTCATTTATATGAAATGATCAGAGCAGGGACATCTCTAAAGATAACAATTAGTTTACTAGTTATTTAGGCCTGAAAGTGCTTATTGATGAAGAAATAGAGAAGGGGTGATGGATACAGCATGTAGGGATACTTTCAAGCTAAGGAACTTGTCTAAAATGAACTGTACTGGTGGTTACACATATCTGTGAACGGTTAAAAATCATTCAACTGTACACTCTAAATGTATGAATTGTGTGTTGCAAGAATTACATCAAAATACAACTGTGTACAAAATACAAATTGGGTTGAATATGCTGCACTGTCCTCATCCTCCTTGTCAGTATTTTGTAGTTCCAATTTTGTCAAATTGTGGTTCCGATTTGTATTGGAACATGGTGACCGGTGTCCTACTTTATTTTCATAGTTTCTTAGTTATCAGCTGTCTAGGCGAACAAATACCTAGCTGGTTCAAATTTTAGCCCTGAGCAGGGCTTCTTTTAGCAACTGTTAAGGCAGCACATCCCAGCAGTGTGTCCTGGGATAAAAGAGATGTGGGGAGCGGCAGAAGTTAGAGATGGAACACATGTGCGGGGCTAAAACAAAGCCAGCCCTGAGAACACCACAGCGAGCCAAGCAAAGCAGTGGCTAGGCCGAGGGGTTTCAACCGACAATAATGTTCTGAGTGTGTAAATAAACGTGCCACGGTCCTTGCACAGCTCTTACCCACCAGGAGAGGCGGCTCCACCTGACCCTCAGCTTTGTGCAGCTTAGCTCCCGTGTTTCTTCATCCTCCACCGTGCCCCCTCCGAAGTTTCAAGAGCTGTGCCGGCCCGGCAGAGGTTCTGGTGAGAGAAGGCATGGGATGAGTTGGTTTTGGACTCCTGCTGTGCAGGGGGACGTTTGTCAGGAAGTCGCAGTCAGGTGTGCGTACTTCTTCCTCACCCATCAATTCTCCAGCCCCGCATGGCCTGGCCAACCCTTCCCATTTGGAAGCGTCCCTTAACTTAACAAAACTCGCCTAGACTGCGTTTTAAAGCTTCCCTTAACCTTTCCTCTACCAATTTATTCTAGTATTGTAACAAATGTACACAGTTGCAGAGAGATGCTCTGGGATTACCTGTTAAGATCAAGAGCCGGTTTTGTTATTACTTGTTCCTTATTTGCCAAGATAAGGTTGTAATAAAGTCAGCAGCATTGTATCAGAAATGATTAGCAAACCTGGCTGACGTTTCCATTTTGCTGTCATAAAACCTGACATAAAACTGTAATGTGGAGAAATGAAATGATTAAGGGGAATTATGCTTCTCTGCCTCTTTACCCCTGCTGAAGGGTGTAGACATCTTACATCGGCCCACAGCAAACCAGCCGTGCACAGAAGCCTGTGCCTGCCTGCGTTTCTTCTCCTGCACGCTGGCCCCGGCCCTGGGCAGAGCACGCTGGCCCCACGTCCGGTGACCAGGTGAGCCGAGAGCTGCGCGAGCCGCGGACAACGGCCTTCCGCTCCGCCGCCGGCCCCAGCGGCATGCTGCCGCTCCTGGCTGTCCTCGCCGCGCTCGCCGGGCCGCACGCCCTCCTCGGTGAGTCCGTGGCCGCCCTCCAGTCTCTCTTGGCCGCAGAGCAGGGCTGGACTCTAGCTGAGGTCAACTTCCCGGGGTGAGGCCCGCCACTCCTTCTAGTATCCCCCGCCCCAGCCAAAGAGGCTGGAGGCGGGGATCTGCAGACCCCGCAGCCTCCCAGACACGCCTGGCGGGAGCAGGGCGCATGTTTGCTGCCCACAGTGTGCTGTCCACAGTGTGCTCCCCAGAGTCCTGAATTTACAACTCCCACGTGATTCTGAAGAGAGTTGGGGGATGCTACAGACCGCAGTGTTTGTGTATCTGAGCCGTTTTCCATTGAAAATGTGTTTAAAGTTTACACCCTGGAGGTGGGCACATAAATAAGTTCAGTAAAAACATGGAACGCTACTATGTACTTGAGTTAAGGACACTTGCTAGGCTGAAGCTGTTGTTGATAAAACAAAACAGCCAAAGAAACAAACACCCTCTATTGTTCAGGTGTTGTTGCTGCAGGTTTTGAAGGAATATTCCTGCACGTCACAGTGCCACACAAGATAAGGTCAAATGAGAGCGAAGTCTCAGAGAAAAAGGTACGCGATCAAGAGTAGTTATTTTATTCCTGAAATGTAAAGGTTCTCTTTATTTACCCTTCTACTAACCTGAATCTTAATCTGTAGTTACTTACAAAGCACGGTGTTTGACTGGCCTTTGTTGTTTCTTAGTGTGCTTTGACCCTCCAGTTCCCACATCTTCGTCGCTGCCTTACCGCTTCTTCTTCTCTCTCCACCTCTTTTTGAATACTTGCTTTTCCATAATTGTGAAGAAATAATGAACACTTTTCAGCAATCAACCTGTAGAAAAATAGTCAATGTGGAATGTGAAGGATGATGGTCAAGCATCCAAATTATAAAGATTTGTTAACCACTAAATAAATAATGAAAAATCTTGAGTAAAAATTAGAAATGCAAAGTTAGACCTACCAGCATCAGAATTAGCAGAAGTAATGGCTAGAGGAAGAAAAAAGAAAATTAAAAAATGGCGTATAAATGGCGTATTGCCTGGTTATGAAGATAAAAATTAAAATACAGAAATATTACATTAAAATGAAGTTGGGAAAATGCTTACTTGCATGACACTCGGTAAACAAGAAGCCCACAGCAATTATGTGGGACATGAAAGGGTTTACCAAGAGATGAGGTGAGAGATTTTGTACTTTCTGTATTTTTGGTACTTTTATATGAAATTCTTGCAGCATTTTTACTATAGTAAGATGTACTTTTTATATTTTTAAAGATTTATTGAGGTATAGTTGGTTTAAAAAAGTACAAATATCAAATTATGGCATCTAAGTTTTGTCTTTCTTCATTTCTTTGTTTAAAGTTTTGCATAGGTATTTTAATTTTTAGTAGCTCTTGTAAGTGGGATTGATATTTTTGAATTCTATTTCACATAACTCGCTACTAGTGTATAGCAATGCTACTGATATTTGTATGTTGATTTTATATTCTGCAGTTCTTTTGAATTCAGGTATCCTAACCATTTTTTGGCAGAATAATTATTGTGGTCTCTATATAAGATCATATCGTCTGCAAACAGTGACAATTTATCTTTCTCTTTTGGAATATGGATGATCTTTACTTTTTTCTTGCCTGATTGCTTTGATGAGAATTTCCAGTATCATACTGAACAAACAAAAAAACCTGAGGTATGTTTTACCTTTCCAGATCTTGCAGTTTGCAGCTTTTCCACATTCAGTATGTTAGCTGTTATTTTATTACACAGGGTATTTATTTTTGCAACACTAGGGATTAAACCCAGGGCCTTCGCACTGAAAGACATACTCAGTCTTTGTTATTTTTAATTTTGAGACAAAGTCTCATGAAGTCATTAAGTCACTCAGGCAGGGCTTGAATTTGCAACCCTTCCTTCTCCGCTCGCAGAGTGCTTGGATTATAGGCATGGACCATCACATTTTTATTATTTTGAGAGATGCTCCTTCCATACCTAAATTATTTTGTATTTTTATCATGAAAGGATGTTGAGTTTTGTCAAATGTCCTTTCTACATGTGTTGAGATGACACATTTTATATCCTTCATTCTGTTGGCATGATTTATCACATTTATTGATTGGCTATGTTGAACCATTTTTACATTCCTAAGATGGGTCCTTTTTGATAATGTCAAATCATCTTTTTAATATACTCTTGCGTGTGGTTTCCTGGTATTTTGTGAGGATTTTAACATCTATGTCCATCAGGCTTTGGCCTGCAGTTTTCATTCTATGTTGCATCTGACATGGAGAGTAGGATAATGCTGGTTTTTAGAATGTGTTTGCAACAACTGTCTGTCTTCAGTTTTTTGGGATAATTTAAAAAGAATTGTGCTTATACTAGTGAGAATGGAGCTGTGAAGTTGTCTGGTCCTGGCTTCTTTCTGACAGGACACATCTCATTGCTCAGTCATTCTTGTTACTTGTTATTGTTTCATTCAAGTTCATTCCCTCAAGATTCAATCTTTGTAAGATGCATATATCTAGGAATTTGTCCATTTCTTCTAGGTTATCAAGTTTGTTGTATGTTTGTTCATGATAATCTATAATGATCTTCTATATTTCTGTGGAAACAGTTATAGTGGTTCTCATTTTATCTCTGATTTTATTTGAAGTAGTTTTAAATTTCTCATTCATTTATTCATTCATTCATACATACACACATGCATTTTAAAATGCTGGGGACTGAACTCAGGGCCTTGCCCATGCCAGGCAAGTGTTCTGTCACCGTGCCACACTCTCTGCTCAATTTTACTTATTCGAGTCCTGTTGTCTTTCTTTTAAGGAGTCCAGCTAAGAGTTTCTGGAAGCAGTAGAGCACTGTCATAACTCAGGTACCAGGAAGGGGGTACCCCATGATGTTGGTCCAGAACCCCAAAGTGGTAGAAGACAAGAGAACTAGGTTCTGTGAGGCTCAATGGCAGCTAAGACAGTGGAAAGTGGGTCATGGCTGTGGCCTAGGGTCCATTTCCCAGGGATGTGGGTTGTCTCAGCCTCAGTCTCTGAAGAGCTGGTCTGGACTTAGACAGTGGAGGCCTTGAAGTCAGTCAATATGGAGGGGCAGTCAGCTGAAGCTCAGTTTCCTTGAAGGCAGGATGCCAGGTCAATTTAGGCATTTTGGGAATTCCATTACTCTACTGGGCCAGTTGTCTTCCTCAGGAGGAGGCAGCAGTGTGATCAGCAGGCTCAGGTGTTGGGTCGTGATGACTCTGTTGGGGAGAGGGTGTGGCCTGGGGTGGCTCAGGTGCTGTGGGGTGCAGCTGCTCTGCTGCATGGGAGCTTCTGTACCATGTCAGTGCCTATTCTGGTGGGGCTTCTCTGTAGGACTTCCTCTACTGGCCTCCAGTGATAAGGTACCATGGGGACTCAATTGCCTGCCTTGTGGCTGCTCCACTGGGCCCACGTTCCCAGGTGGGCAGACCACCGGGTCAGCCCTGGCATTGTGGACATGGCCGCCTTCTTGGTATAACCTCTGTGCAGTTGAGCTGCAGGGAAATAGAGAAAGGCAGGTGATACAGGGTAGGAAGCCACCGCAGCACTAAGCTGTGTGTGATTCAGCGAGACTCAGGGATAAAAGGGCACAGTGGTTACTGGACACAGGAGTATGTTGTACTTCCATAATAGCTCTATTTTCAGGGTGGTGCAGGTCAGCAGCTCTGAAAGAGTGAGGCCATGTGCATTCCAGGTAGCTTCTGAAGCTGGGTACAGGACCTGTGAGGATTGGAGGACTTCCCAGGAGCAAAGACAGCGGATGTTTGAGGTTGGGATTGGTGCTGCTGGGGTGTCCTTACTTTCCTCTTTCTCACAGGAAGAAGTCACTACTGGTTCCAAGCTATTCATAAGTGGGTATAGGGTCAGGGAGATAGAGTCAAGTGTTTGCTTCTCTTCTCTGCAAACACCATCAATTTTGACCACAAATTGGCTTCCTACCCTCTGGGTGTTGTAGTGCACAGGAAGCTACCCTCTATCAAGCTGCCCTCTATCTGCCTTTCTCTATTTTCCTGCAGCTCAACTACACAGAGATTACACCAAGAAGTAGGCCATGTCCACAATGCCTGGGCTGACCTGGTGGTCTGCCCACCTGGGAACGTGGTCCCACTGGGTTTCCCACCCCTGCAGCACTCTGCTTTAGTTACCCTGCTCAAGCTGGTTTATTCATTCTCTGGTGACTTTTTTTGTAGGTGGGATGAGTGGTGGACAGCACTAGTCTATCATCTTGGTCTGCATTTGCTTTTCTTTAGGTCACCTTGGATTTCTTTCATCAGTGTTGTCCAGCATTTATGTACAAGCCCTGTGCATGTTTTATTGCATTTATACCTGTGCACTTTAATTGGAAAGCCATTATTAAGGGAATTATTTTAAATTTATTTCCAGATGTCAATATTTATGCAGAAATACAGTTCACTTTTGTATCTGTATCCTGTACTTTTGTAATTACTCATCTATTCCTGAACTTATTTAGGTGATTTTTTTGTGGTTAAAATCCTATTGTAAAAATATATCTAAGCAGAATTCTTTGAATTTTACACTTAGACAATTATGTTATCAGCAAATAGGGATAGTTTTTATTTCTTATCTTTCAGTCTAGAGATTGGAAATACATTGGCCTTCTATTTCTTTTTCTTAAATTATTGCACTGACTGGACAATAATGAGACTAGGAGTCTTGCTTTATTCCCTATTTTACGGGGAAAGCGTCCAGTCTTTCACTGAATATAATTAAGTATAATAACAACTATGGTTTTTAAGTTGAAGAAGTTGTTTTGCATTCATATTTTTCTGTAAATTATTATCATGAATAGTTTTAAATTTTGTTCAATTTTTTTTCTATACCAATGGATAAGGTGATGTGATGTTTCTTATGGATCTATTAGTATTATCTTGATTTATTCATTGATTTTCAAATATTGAACTAGATATGCATTCCAGAAATAAACTGCAGTCATGTTGCTATATTACTTGTATATAATGTGAGTCCAATTTACTAATATTTTGTGTATATATCCTTGAGCACATTAGTCTGTATTTTTTTTGTTACAGTCTTTGGTTTTGATATTGGGTAATACTATCTTCATATAATGATTGGAAAGTGTATTCTGCTTTTTTTATAGAATTATGTTAATTCCTAAATGTTTCGTGCAATATCTCAGTGAAACTATTTAACCTGAGAATCTTAGGATGTTTGTTTTTAATTACAAATTCAATTCCCATAATAGTTATAGACACATAATTATCTGCTACATTGAGGGAGTTCTGGTAGCCTGTGCTTTTTGTAGAATTTTATTTATTTCATTTAATTGCTAGCTACTTGTGTAGAATTTTTACTAGTGTTATCTGTTTATGTTATAGTGTCTATGATATATGTATATACTAATATCATTTGTTTCATTCCTGATACTTGTAATTAGTATATTTTCTATTTTTATGATTAGATTTGATAGAGTTTGCCTTGTATGTATGTTGTCAACAGCATTTTATTTTTCTGATTTTGTTTATTCTTTTCTGCTTCAATTTTATTGATTCCATTTCTTTATTTTCTAATTTCTTTTCACTCTATGCTTATTGTATTCTGCTCTGTCTAAATTCTTGACAAGGGAATATAGATTATTGGTTTGAGACTCTTTTCTGTTGTATTGTTTTCTCATATTTCTGTTAGCACTACTTTTGAATTCATTTTTATTCAGTTGAAAACATGTTAATATTTTCCTTTAGTCTTCTTTAATGTGTGTATTATTTAGAAAAGTGTTATTTATGCCAAATGTGGTGGTGTGTGCCTATAACTGCAGAACTCTGGAGGATTCAAAGTTCAACTACAGCCTAGGCAACTTAGTGACTTAGTGAGACCATCTCAAAATTTTAAAAAGGCTTGGGGTATAGCTCAGGGGGAAAGACCTGGGTTCGATTTCCAGTAGCACTGAATGAAAGAGTGAGAGAAGGAGAGAGGGAATAGGGAGAGGGAGGGAGGAAAGAAGGAAGGGGAAAAGTTGTCATTTAATTTTCACTGTTTTTAGAGATTTTCATGCTATCTTTCCATTATTAATATATACCAGGGGTGCCTTAGAAACTTTTCTTGTCACTGAGACACAATACTCGACTCCTACAAGTTAAAGGAGGGTAGGTTTATTGTAACTCACAGTTTGTAGAGGTTTCAGTTCGTGGTTGCCTGGCTCCAAGGCAGGGTGGCATGGCTGAGGGGCATCACAGAGGAGAAGTAGTTCATGGGAAAACAGGGAAGAGGTACCAAGCAGCAAGCAGTGAGCCTCCCTTTCCCACACAGGCTACAAGCTTTTGGAGTGGTACCACCAACACCAGGTTGGGCCTTCCCATTACCCACACCCAGAACTATGATAAACCATTTAGTGGACTAATGCAGTATCATACACCCTTAATCCCAGTATCACACCCTTAATCCACATTCACATACTCTAGATCCATTCACCTCCAAAGAGCCCCACCTATGAAGCTTTGGGCAGGTGTCTGGATACATTCCACCCCTAACCCCCAGAAGACTCATGCACATCCCTTTCCACAAAAGGCATTTAGTCCATCTCTAAGAGTTGCCAAAGACCTAATAGTTTCAGCTTTGTGGAAAAGTCCAAGCCCAAAGTCTCCTCTAAGATTTAAGGCAAACTCTTAGCTGTGAGCCCCTGCACAAATGAAAAGAAAACACTTTCAAAAATACAGTGACATAACATAAATGTTCCCATTCCAAAAGGCACAAATATGGGGATAGAAACCAGCACCACGTGGATGACACCAGAGTCTGATGCCAGCTGGAGCAGCAGCCACTCTCCTTTCTCTCTTGGCTGTAGGAGTTGAGTGCCTGGATTTCTCAGCATTGTGAACTCAATTCCGAGGTACAAATTCTCTAGGTCTTTGCCATTCTGGATCATGGTGCCCTGGAGCTCTGTTCTCAGAGCAAAGGCTTTCACTTTTGCAATTTTGAAGCTGCAAAATGAGGAGTCCTGCTGGTTCTTGTGGTGTTTTCAGGCCATCTTTTCTGTTGTCCTGCTCCTTTTCAGGAACCAAGTTCTCATTGCAGGCCATAACTTTATCAGAGCTTCTTTTCTATCTTATCTCATCATCTTTTAAATTATTCTGCTGGGCCACTTGTTCTTGATTCTCAACATAGATCTGGGCAAAAGTTCCCAACAGTAGCCATGCCAGTCTTAGAGTGCCTTGAAATTTCTTCTGCAAGATTACTTAGTCCACTTCTTTTAATCTCAGTCCCCTGAAAACTCTGGAAATGAGCATAGAGCATACATGTATATATATGCTATAACTTTCCAGTTATTTTGTTAAATCTATGCTGTGTCTCATTCTTTTGACAATTGTCTTTTTGCAGTGCAGCTGTCTTTAATTTTAATGAAGTCCAATTTGCCAATTTTTTAATGGATTATATGTTGATTATGGCTTAAGTGTTTACCAAAAAGTCATCACCATAACCAAGATCACCTAAAATTTCTCCTGTTTTTTAAAAGTAGTTTTATATTTTACATTTTGGTTGGGGTCTATTTCAAGTTATTTTTGTTAGGTATTAAGTTTTGGGCCTAGTTTTTATTTTTATTTAGGAGTCTAGTTGTTCTAGTGCTATTTGTTGAATAGGCTAACAGTACCACATTTTCTTTATTGCTGTGTCTTCACTGTAAATCTTGACATCAGGTAGTGTGAGTCTTCCTATTTTGTTCTCTCAATACAGTATTATTGTTTATTTTGCCTCTCCATGTAAATGTTAGAGTCAGTTTGTTGATGTCAATAAACTAGCTAACTGGGATATTCACTGGGACTGTTTTGAGTCTATTGACCAAATTGACAAAGACTGAACATCTTGACAGTGCCAGATGTTGGTACCCACATATGTGAAGTTTCTCTCCATTTATGAAGTTCTTTGATTTACTTTGTAGATTTAATTGTAGGAATCTTTCTGTTAGATTTATATATATGTTTATGTTTGGGGATGTTAATGTAAGTGATCTTTTAAATTTTAAATTCTTATTAATTGTTAGTGGATGAGAAAAATAATTGATTTTTGTACATTTGTTTTGTGGACTGAAACCATGTTATAATTATTAATTCCAGGAGCTTTCTTTAACTCATATTTTTCAGATTTCCTATAATAATTTCATGTATGAAAAATGACGCTTAGATTTCTTTTTTTCCCAATTTGTGTACCTTTAATTTTCTTATTGCATCAGTTAGGATTTTCAGCACAGTATTAAAAAGACGATTAGAGAAGGTGTCTGTTCAGATATATGATAATTATCTTTAAGCCTACTTTTTCAGCATTATGACATTAATTCTCTGGTTTTTAAAAATAGATGATCTTTATCAAGTTGAATAAGCTCTCTTTTATCATTACTTTGCTGAAAGTTTTTTATTATAAGTGTTTACTATTATTATAATTTACTGTTACTATGTGTCAAATACTTTTTTCATGTTTATTGTGTGACCAAATGATCTTTTCTTTCTTAGCCTTTGAAGTAGTAAATTATTAGTTGATTTTCAAACCTTATACCACCTTTTCATATTTGAGATAAATCCCATTTGGTAGTGTTGTATAATTAATTTTACACATTGTTGAGTATGACTTACTACTTTGTTGAGAAATTTTTCCTCTGACCTCATAGAATGAGTTAGGAGATATTCCTTTTGCTTGTATCTCCAAAAGAGCTTATAAAGAATTGATAAAAATTTTTTCTTTAAATGGTGGTATTTGCCAGTGAACCCGTTTGAACTCCATAACTTCTGTTTTGCACTGATATTAATGATTGATTCAATTTTATAGATATAGCACCATCCAAATAGTATATTTCGCCTATGTAAGTCTTAGCAAATTGTGTCTTTCAGGAAATTGGTCCATTCCATTTTGTCAAATTTTTTAAAAAATTGTGTCATTTTATTGGTTTATTAGTATATGTTTGCAGTACATGCATTTTGAGGAGTGGGTACATATATACAAAACAACTTGTTTCTTTTTTTAGTCCTCTTACCCTTCCCTCCTTCCTTCTTTGATTCCCCCATCCTGATTTTCATTCTTGTTGGTATTTTTAATCTTAGCTTATGTTTATGGCATATAGTGTTTAAATTCGCTGAGGTTATTAGGTTTCTGTACATAGCACATCTTTATTCTACTTACTTCCCCTTCCCCTCCCCCACTCCTTTCCCTTTGTCTATAAACATTGCTCTAAATACAGCTTTTACTTTAAACATGTTCATGTTCATATCTTTTGATTACAAATATATTTTAACTTTCCCATAAGGGTATTTATCTGAGATATTACTTATCTGCAGTTAGTTTTGGAATTTTAGTTGTTTTTCTTTTATTGGTTTATAATTTCATTCATTTTGCTCGTTGCCTAAGATCATATATGTTTTATGTTTTTAAAAATTTTTCTCGAGTTTATGTTCCAGAATATAATCTATCTTGTTGAAAGTCCAGTGGAAACTTGAGGGGTATCAGTTGGATGAAATGACAACATTGTACTTGAAACACTGTTGGACCTTTCCCTACCCTTGCTCTGTGTTCAGTCTGAAAAGTGTGGTTGAGTAGCTATTATAGCTTATGGAGCTTTAGAGAGGAGTGGGAGAGGGTTTGCTTCAGATCTGTGTTGTTGAGCCCTGCTTTTGCTATTCTGTGTGCTCTTTGAGCTTCATGGGTGTTTCCAGTCAAAAGCAGCAGTGCCCAGTTACAAGCTACCAAGTTTATAGACTGTTCGCCAACTCAAATTTTACAAGATTTCATTTGAAATTGGTTTAACTTGCCAAAAATATGGAAGAGTTGCTAGAATAGGTGTCTGGCTGTATTTGTGGACAAGTCCAGTTATTCCCCTATCAGATTCCACAGACTTTCTCCTATTTCTGGATGCTGTTGCCCAGGATGATGCCATTGTTATTAGTTTTCACTCTCTGATGTTTTAGGATTCTTTTCCCTGGAGCTGTGGCATTCCTCCCTGCCTTTTTGCCTGAACAATCTGTCAAGTTATTTTTTCGTATAGATTTATACTTTGATAAATGTATCTAATTGTACACATATGTACTTATGTACAAGTATTTGTAAATTATTTATTGATTCACTATACTTGGTGTGTAATGTAAGCTTGAAGTTCTTTTTCATTTATCTTGACTGAAAAAGATAACTGCTTTTCTAGATAGAAGTGATCAATATATTATTAATGTTAAAATTATATTTTTTCAGAATAAATTTCTTTTTTAAACAAATTATCCTTACACATTAATCACTATTCCAGAATCAATTGTAAATTCTTACTAGTTAATATACTAAATTTCAGAGACTATGTGCATTTTCAATGTATTAAATGATTCGTTTTTATTCAGTTGGATGAAAAATACTGTATTACTTTATATACTTCTGATTTACTAAATCACCTTTACGCACTTTATTTTAGATGATTTATACCATTGCAATTGATGGAAAAAGATGTACCTTGCATCTCAGAAAACAGTAAGATATGACTTTCCATTTCACAAAAAGGGAAAAATTTATGCTTAAATGTCACTCTTTTAAAAAATTTATACAGAATTTAAACTCAGGAATGTAGTAGAATGTAGACTTGCCTTATGAATACACTTTCCAGTTTTTGATTCATTAGATCTTAAACATTAGATCTATGAAGCTCTTGTGTTCTGACTAAGAAATAATTGACATAAACCTGGGCCTGGTGGTGGACACCTGTAATCCCAGCACTCAGGAGGCTGAGGCAGGAGCATTGCTGCAAGTTTGAGGCCAGCCTGGGCTACAGAGTGAGTTTAAGGCCAACTTGAGCTACATAGCGAGACCTTGCCCTTCCAAAAGGAGATAGGCAGCATAACTGGAAATATTCAATTAAGTATAAGTCAATGAACTCAAGAACACTAAGTTATTTATTAAATATATCTGATGTAAAAACACATGAAGTTACTCATTAAGTTGTTATTTGTAGTAAATTCAAATACTGGCATGTTTTTTATGTGTTCATTAGACATGTGTTTATTTTTAAGGAACTTATTGAATATACTTAATTCTCCAAGTGTATAATTCAGGGATTTCAGTAGCTTGCACTGCTGCAGCCAGCTGCTCTGTGCCAGTTTTAGGACATCTGAGAACATTTTCTTTCCCATGTAAAGGCTCCATGTCATTTCAGTTCATGTCTGTGTTCATCCACAACTCTAAGCAGAAATCAAACTGCTTTCTATATCCTGGTCTGTGTTTTCTTTTTTTTCCCCTACCATTTGTTTTTATTATTTTAAAGAGAAAAGAACAAAAACAGAATAACAAAAATACGGACAAAAACAAAATAATACAAAAACTACAAAAATGATACACAATTTTAAAACAAGATGTTAGGAAATCAACAATGGTTGTTGTATTACTTATTGTTGTCTCCATAGTAGTTGCTCAGATTGCCAGATACAGGTATGCAAGATTGATCAAACAATTAAACATTAACTGTTCCTTTCAATAAACCAGTAGAAATTAGTACTACAACTATCTTAGCTATCTTGTGTATGTGTGTATATATATATATATTTACCTTCTTTTTTTTGTTTCTTTTCTCCTTTCCCTCATCCCAGTTATTCTTTCTTATTAAGCAGTTTCTTCCCCTTTCACAATATCTATTGTCTCCATAGTGTAAGAACCTGAAAGAGTAAATTAAACTGGAAGGTACGATAGCTATTGTGAAAGGGAAAGTACATTTTCTCAACAATTCCCATTTCAAAAGTCAAAAAGCATCTTTTGTGCCTGCAGCTTTTCAAAAACATCTGTAACACCTCTTCTTTGTCTGACTACATCTGTGTAGTTGGCCAAGGCTGGGGAACATTATTCTTAATTTATGACAGCCTGTACTTAATTCAGGTCGACTAAGCTTATGTTGGCCTCTCTGGCTTCTAACTTCTCTAAAAAATATTTTTGGGCAAGATTATCAGTGTTCTTCATGTTTTTTAATGTCATGCTTGTTTTTCATTGTTTTATTTTTCTCCACTAACTGGCAGCATGCAGCATTTGGTGTAGCTACTCAGCGTCTTTCTCCTAAAATAACTTGCTTCACTTAACCTCCAGAATATTACAGACACCATGTCTTGATTTGCTTTCTACCATTATTATTACTTCTTGTGTTTCTCTACTTTACAGATTCATCTTCATCTATTTGTAGAAAGCATCATGGTAGTCTTTTGAATTTTTTAAAAAATATATTCAAACACCTAGTTACTTCATTTAGTCTTGTGACTTTACATACCATCCCTGTGTGGGTGGCTCCTAAATTTATATCTCCATTTAACCCCCTCCAATGAATGCCATATTTATTCATTTTACTTATTTCATGACCAAATGTGTTCTAGGACTCACACAGGTGAAGTTTTGAAAAATAATTTCTGATCCTCTTCTCAAATTTGTATTTCCCATAATTATCTCAGTAAATTCTATTCTTCCACTTTCTCAGTAGAAAAAGAAAAAAAAATGGAGAAAGAAATAAAAGACACCCTAGAATCATCTCTGACATATTTTTCCATTGTTTTCCCCCAGATCCAATGTATTATTAAATCTTGTGTGTTCTGTTTTGAGATATCTCCGAATCGGGCCTATGCCACACTGCTGTAGCAGTGTTCCACCATGTCTAGCTAAGCTGACAGTAATAGTTTTCTAACAGAGCTACTTGCCCCTGTGCCTTTGCCTCGTAGATTCCTCTCTACACAGCACTGAGTCTGATGCTCTTACAATATTGCTGTGCTGCTGTCTTCATCTGCTCAAGCTCTCATGGTGTCCCATCTCCGGGAGGCCACCTCTTTTCCCAAGTCTGTTCTTCATCTAGTGGTTCCTACACCTCTTTTCCCAAGTCTCTTCTTCATCTAGTGGTTCCTACACCTCTTTTCCCAAGTCTCTTCTTCATCTAGTGGTTCCTATAGCTCTTCTTCATGTGTATTCTACCTAAAACTGTCTAGAATAACTTTTCTGGGTGAGAATCCCTTCGGCTTCTTCATCGCATCTTTAGTCATCTACTCTGTGGGCCTTTCCATACCGTACTATGTACATTTTCCTGACTGTCCAGACAACCCCACAGGCCTTGTTTGTTCTCAACCGATGTGCTAGCGGTGTTGTAGCTCTAATGGTCATAAAGTCAGAGATTCTGTTTTTGTTCACTACTGTATCCTAACACCCAAAGAAGTCATTGTCATGCAGTAGATACAATACTAAAGACATAAATGGGAAAAAATATAAATATGTGACACAAAGGAGTCAGAGTCTGTTCCACTGCTAAGAAAGCTCCCTGATTCCATAGCTGTATCAATTGCAGCCACAATACCATGGTACAATTACCTAGTTAAATCATTTATCACATTAACTCTAGACAGTCAATATTTACTTTTCTTGTTTTAATGTTTATATTCATATTAAACTCAGGATTTACCTTTTATTTATTGATTTATTTCTAGCTTATTCTTATCCCCCAATTTTTTGGCTTATGCATATAATGAAACTGGATCTTTGTATTCTGAGTCTTCATATTTTATGGTAAGAGTCAGATATCTTAAACATTTATTATTATAAATGTATTATTATGTTTCTTTGTTAAGATGGAAACATCATTACCATTAGGTTATTTTGTTCCAGGCTGACACTTTTACTAATCTTTATTTATAGATTCAGTGTGCTCATAGTATTAATAAAGTTCCCTTTAAGTAGAATATTACCTTGGCCTTTAGAGTGATTTTTTCATTTGTCTCACTTGAGATCTGAGTCTCTAGAATCTATCATTAAACATGTTCTGTTTAATTGTACATCTACAGTATTGCATATAGAGATGATACTCAGTGTTTGTTAACTTGCTTATTATATATCATTTTCATTTAAAAGCATATAACCACAGTATACAATTTGGGAAGAGAAGGAAAAAAATCATCTGTTACATCACCATTCAACTCAAACTCTACTATTATTGTCTTCTTAGTTTTTTGGTTTTTTTTTTTTAGTGCTAGGAATTGAGCCTAGTACCATGAACTGCCAGACAAGCTCTCTGCCACTGAGCTACTTACCATCCTCATGTTGAAAAATGCTTTATTCTGTATAACTCTGACCTCTAATGTGGTTGATTGTTGTACATAGAAATGTGATAGAGAGGGACTGGGGATTTAGCTCAGCAGCAAAGCACCTGCCTGGCAAGTGCAAGGTCGTGAGTTCGGTTCCCAGTACCGGAGAAAAACCAAAAAAAAACAAAAAAAACAAACAACAAAAAAAAGAAATGTGATAGAGGTGGGTCCCACATGCAAAAGATTATTCATGTGTCTCCGGGTGGTAAAATGTGAAGAGTTGTCAAAAATATTTTCCTGAAATTTTGCATTTATAATTGTATACAATTATCATTGTAAAATATTTTTACTTCTTGAGTCTTCTGAAGTGTGTAACAATGACTTTTTATTCGTAAAGAATCTGTGTATCGACACTTGTTCATCCTATGTTTTTAGACGCATTGCCATTACCAAGGATATGCTGCTGAGTTTCCAAATTCTGTTGTCACACTCAGTGTCTGCTCTGGCCTCAGGTAATAACACCTTAGAGGGCAATCACACATGGAGAATGCAGAACACACTTTAAAATAAACATTAGTGGCTAGCAGGCACAAGTCAGGAAAAGCCAAAAATTTCTTTTCTGATGGCCATACTTTTATTTATGTTAATGTTAATACTTGTACCTAAATTTCCATTCAAATGAAATGAATCCTGGAAGTTCTCAGTGGAGGTCTTTCCAGTATACTGGACAGGAAGGGATAGTTTCACAAAGAAGACTTTTTTTTTGGTTTTTCTCCGGTACCAGGAACTGAACTCACGACCTTGCGCTTGCCAGGCAGGCGCTTTTTGCTGCTGAGCTAAATCCCCAGCCCCTCACAAAGAAGACTATAGAATATCCCTATAAATGTTATTATTGGATTCTCTATCATATCTCAATTATGGGAAATGATCCTAATTGGTTATTTAAATATAATAGGCACACACAATATTATTTCAGCTTAATACTCACTAGAGAAAAATAATGGAGAAGACTCCTCACAGGTACGTGGTGGAGATAGGTGATTTTCAACGCTGATGCTGAGAAACATCACAAATCTACCAGAGGAAGAATGGGCCAGAGTAGGAAAAGAAAAAAAGATTCTTCCTAGCTTCCTTTTCATTTTGGTGTCCAATTTCCAGAGATTTTTCATGTCAATTAAAAAAATTGGCATTCTGTGAAAGTGATTTTCAAATATATCAATATCTTTAGACTTCCATTCTGCATATCTACTTTCCCTTTATTTTAACCTCTGTAAGGGCAAGAACTTTATTTTTGGAATTCTCAATACATATCTCAGTTCCTATCAGGACATGGCCTTATTTAATATATCTTGAATGACTGCTACTGCTATCCAGAAATTAGAAGAGTATTCTTCAATACATTTCTTTAAGATGTAAGCAAAATTAAAGCAGATGTAGTGGGTGTTGCTTGTGGTAGATTGCAAAAAGCAAATAGAAAAAGACAGTGGATTGAAAACCACTGTCTATACACCAATACTGTAATTCAGTATTGCTTGTACTATTCTTGTGCTACTTTGTAAATAGCTGTCTGTTTGTTATTATGTTTTCATTGTTTTACTTTTAAAATTAAAAAGCTCTAAAAAATACTTCAGGTTATAGTTTTTATGATATCATTGCAAGATTTTTTAATAATTATTGTTTCTCTGAATGTTCAGGGGATTGCTGCAGTTTGAAAATATCACCTATGGAATTGAACCACTGGAATCTTCAGCAAGATTTGAGCACATAATTTATCAAGTGAAAAATGACAATCAGGATATACCAATGTTAACAAAAAATTACAGCAATATTCAGCAGATAGACCAGCTCTCTCAAGTTCATTTAAACAGACAGGTAACTGTCATACTGATATTGTGACCTACTAGGAAATTATCCCTGTAATTATTTTTAATCACGAAAGGAAACTAGTTAGCTGTGGAGTAAAATGTAATATTTGTGTCTTCTTTCTATATTTTGAAATGACATATAAATTTTATACAAAATACCCACAAAATTATGTAGGTATTATGTTTCAAGTTTGTTTTATGATGTATTATATAATATTTCTTTATTTTTTGCAATTTTAAAATAAAATGGTTATGATTTAAACATTAGCATTATAGGAAATGCAGTCACTGTAATTTCCAGTAGCCTGTTAATGAATACTTTTTTTTTTTTTTTTTGGTTTTTGTCCAGTACCGGGAACTGAACTCATGACCTTGCGCTTTTGCCGCTGAGCTAAATCCCCAGCCCAATGAATACTTATTATTCATTGTTTTATGTAGAATTTAAAGATGTCTACTATGTCAACTTGTTTGTGTTCTTTAAAAGTTTGGTTTCCTCCAAGGAATTTATAGTTTATATCTCTTATTATAATATCTTCCTTATAATTTTTAAACTCTGTTCTGTTTATGTACACATTGATTCTGATTCATTTATTGAGACAGATTCTCACTATGTGGTTGGCCTCAAATTTGTAATCCTCTTTCCTCTGCCTCCCAAGTGCTGGGATTGCAGGGGTGCACCACCACCTGTCATGTGCATTTTTATTTTTGCATGGTATGTTATATTAATTATTACATTAAAATAATCTAAAATTAGTTTGGCAAATTTCTGTTTACTTTCAGACTGTCATCAGTTTTGTCTAGAGGTGTATGAGAATATTGTTATGATAAATATGTCTTGCAAGCAAGCACAGAAAACCCTTTTGTGTTTTCTTTTTTTTTTTTTTTCCGGTACCAGGAATCAAACTCATGACCTTGCGCTTGCCAGGCAGGCGCTTTGACACTGAGCTAAATCGCCAGCCCCCCTTTTGTGTTTTCTACACTCTTTTCAATTGCAAGGTAACAAACACCTCTTTATAAAAACAGAATGTTAAAATATTCAATAATAAAATACCACTTTTAGGGGTTTTTTTTGTTTTTTTGTTTTTGTTTTTTTCTCCGGTACCGGGAACCGAACTCAAACGACCTTGCGCTTGCCAGGCAGGCGCTTTTGCCGCTGAGCTAAATCCCCAGCCCCTAAAATACCACTTTTAGATAGATAGGAATAAGGATAGCCAATTCTTTTGCATATTGGATGTTTGTGGTAGAAGTGTTTGATTTGCATGTTGTGTAATTATTACTATAGAAGTTTTAACATATTAATTAAAACTACTTTAAATTCCATTTCTGCTAGTTCCAACATCTGTGCCACATATCTGGTTGATTTTTATGATTATCAAGACTTTCAGATTTCTTTCTTGCCTGGCCATATTTTTTCTCTTGTTATTGTTACTGTTTGAAAGTGAGGCATATTGCATTAATACTTTTTAAGGATGGAGATTAAGTACAGTTTTCTTTTTCCCTAGGACTTTAGTCTGAACGTTGGTGTATTCCACTCAGATCAAATGCCTGTTTATCATTGTTATGTCTAACACAGTATACCAGAGGCTTCTCCCTCCCCCAGTAACACTTTATGTTTATAGTGAGCAAAAGTTTCCTGCAAAGATGCCCTTTTCCTGCTTGGCTTTGGGTTTCTCTACTTGGCTTTGCTTCATGATTGTAGGAAAAAGTCTGTCTCTTCTAGAGCTTTCTGGTATATCCATTTTTTTTTTTTTGATAAGTTAAGTCTAGAATATTGTCTTTAATCAAGTAGAGAACTGTTTTGTTTGTTTGTTTCTGATGCTCTGATTGAGACTCAGTGTTAGGCAGATACTCCAAACTTTGGTTTGGGGATGTAGACTTCACAAATGTTGCATCTCTTCTCTAAATGCAATGCTGGACCTATCAATCATTTCTTTTCCTCTTTCCCAACTTCATCTCCTCTCTCTCAGCTGTAATGGGTTTTACTAATACCCTTAAACTATAACCTCTTTGCCAGTTCCCCTGAAGATTAAGCCTTTTGTATTGTAAAGGAGGTGGAGGAAATACACTGGAGTGGCTGATATTCCTGTCCTCCACCCAGCACCATGACAGAATAAAAATCTTTTTGATGTTCTTTCCAGTCTTTATCATGAGTAACTTGCTGGGATTTTGGAGAAAACAGCTACAAAAAGCTGTGAAACCAGTGGTCTTTAAGGTTCCTGGAATCTTTGCTAAAAGGTGTCTGGCTGGCCAAAAGCACAGAGAGTAATAAAACAATAAAACACTTTTATTGTGGAGGGCACGGAGAAGATTGACAGAGAAGGAGAATCTTCTGGGGGGCTGGGTCATGGGGACAGTGGTTAAATATGGTCAGGCTAGAGGCGGTGTTTAGGGGGTGGGCTAGCTGACGTGGCAGGCTAGCATTGGGCAGGAGTGTGGGAAAATGAAACAGGATATTACATAAAGAGGAGTAGGAAGTCCTAATTCAACTCCAGGAGGAAGGGTGGAGCTTATCATATGGCCTTTAAGGGCCAGTGCCATATTGACCATGGCATATAGTCTCCAGTAGGTGGCACCACAGAGACTTTAAAGGAATTATGGAAACCTTTCATTTACACTTTTATAGTGGCACAAGTTTGGACTTTAGAAATTCAGCTAAAATTTTACCAGAATATACCTCCCAGTTTACTTGGCACTTGATGTCTCTGCAGTTGCATATTAATGTTTGGTTCCTACCACATCCTACAGGAACATTTCTCTCTCCACATTTAAGTTAATGGCTTTATCTCCAATTTTAGCTTTTTAATAAGTTCAGAAAAGTCATTAACTTGCAGTTTCTCCAGCTTTTACAGTGTTAAACATATGAAAAAAAATGTTCTTCCCAGCTTTCTATATCTCCAATACAAAACCAGAAATCTTAGAAGAATGCTTTTTTTTTTTTTTCCAATAATGCTTTTCTCCATAAACCCTTTAGGCAGCAGTAAGTACAAAAATTAAAATGTTTAATGAAAAAATAGTCTAGTGCAATTCACTTCCTCAAGATAGTTATTAATGGCTGTGTAACATGTGCATGCCAGTCACTGCTTACTATCTGTCCTGAAAGCCAGTGTGGTGTACCTGACCGTAGGAAAACCACAAATCAGAAACATGCTGAAGTAACATCCCTTCCTATTTCATGCAGTCAGCATTTCAATTTGTGGAGTTGCAGTGGGTTTGTTTACATATCATTCATTTTAGTCAAGATTTTTATGCATATCTGTTACTGATTTTTCAATCATTTTTTTCTCATTATCTAATTTCATTCTAGCATTCACCAGAGCTAAAACCATACCTCTTAGTTTGTTGTGACTATTATCTAAAATAGAAATTAGCAATTAAAGAATAAAGAACAATTAAACAACAAATAAAGTTTTAATGTTCACATTAAAATGTGATGGCCACATTTTAATGTGATGTGGTAGGAACCAAACATTAATATGCAGGGATTTTTAAATTCAAAATTCATTTCAATAATGGTTTTCAGTTGTCGTCAAACACAAAATTTTTTCAAGAGTTATGGATATGGGCAAGGTAGAATAGACCCACTTTTCCTATTATTATAATACATAATACTTATCCTATTATTCATAAGTATAACTTGAAAGTCCTAGAAATTACTATACCAGACAAAAATTATAGTTCCCAAATTAATACTGGAGCTCCCCAAGCAGTATTGGGGGTGATGACACTGATCTCTGCTGACTGGCATCACCTGAAAAGACTTGTGACAGGAGGAGAGGGTTATAGACCACTCTGTTTATTAAAGAAGCACACTGTCTTAAACACATAATGAGAACAAAGGCATTCATGAGAAAGGAGCTCAAAAGATAGTTCAAGGAAAGTACATATTCCACTTGAGCTGATAGTATTGGAGACAGCTTGGGAAACAGCTCAGAAAATGTTTCCTACATCCTGCAGCTGTGATGCCAAGGCCTCCGTGCAAGTCATGCTGTGCTCCATCTTCAGAGTCTTACTAGCAGCTGACTCTTCAGGAGACCCATCAGGACAGTCCACCTCGCAGCTTAGAAACAAAGCACTTCATATACACATTTTCAGTGCTGACTCCCCCAAAGCTGAGAACATGAAAATTGAATACCAGAGAGTAGATAAGCTTTCTATGTAGAGGAAACCTTATGTTAGCAAGCTCTCTGTGTTTTTTTTTTTTTTGTGTGTGTGTGTGTTATTGTAGCTTACTTGTTGGTTAGTTTGCCTTATGTACTGTGGATAATAAAAAGGCAACAGAAAATACCGATAAATTCAGACAAAAATTCAAATGAAAAAATATGTTCTGTCTAACCAAAGTACCAGGAAAAGGCCAAATAGAAAAGCCAAATTTTTAAGACAGAATCCATACCACTCTAACAAACACTCCAGAAAAAATTGCCTCTTTTCTGTTTCAGGGATGGCCGAATAAGAAGGCTAGACATGTAGCCTCACCAGTTTGTGAGAACATGCCCCCTATCTGGGCATAAATGACATCATTGAAAATTAAATGGAAAAGTCTAGTTTCGTTATCCCTGATGGTAGTGGTACACCAAAAACCAAAACAATCTCAACTTGAATGACAGAAGACAACGACAGATGCTAATACTGAGATGGCATAGAAGCTGGAATATCTGAGAAGTACTCACAGTAACAAAATGTTTCAACAAGGAATTACGGACACACTTGAAATAATGGCAAACAATATATGGCTGGGTGTGTAGCTTGGTAATAGAGCACTTGACTAACACAAAACAAAAAGCCCTAGGTTTGATATCCAACACTGAAGAGAGAGGAAGAGAGGAGAGAGGGAGGGAGAGAGAGCAACAATAGAAAGCTTCAGCAGATAAATAAGTATCAGCAAATAATTGGAAGATATAAAGATGTTTGAAGTAAAAATTATAACATTATCTGATGAAGTTCTCAGTTTGCATAGCGGAAATGTTTAAGACAACTATATTATTTAAAAGAAGTAGAATGACTAAAAGGTGGGGTTGCTAAGGCTTACTCAAACTAATAAACTGTCAATTCCACTAGGCCGTATGTGGTGTGGTACCTTATACTTAAAAATATTATAGATAAAAAAATTGACACTGTACATTTTTCAAGTAATAGCGTAGAGAAAGAAATAAAAAGAGTAATGTAAAGCTGAGTGTAACAAATAAAAACAGATAATAACATGGCAGATTTAAGCTCTAATATGACCATAATGACATTAAATGCAAAAGTGATCTAAATATACCAATTTTCAAGCTAAGATGTACAAAGTGGATTTAAAAAAAGAACTCCAATACTGCCTGTAAGAAATTGTTCTCAAATGTAAGGAACTACCTACATTTAAAGAAAAAGGATATAAAAAGTTATTCCATGCAATTAAAACACTTCTAAGCATTAGATGGGTCAAAGAAGACGTTTTAAAGAAAATAAAAATATAATAAGTCAAAAATTGTGGGACACAGCTAAACAATGGTAAATGGGAAATTTATAGCATTAAAGCCTTACACTAGGAATGAAGAAACATATCCAGATAATAGCAACGCTCTAACCTCAAAGATACTGGGGGCATTATGAGTAAAGTTATCCAGTGCCGGGAGGTTGAGTACAGAATGAGGCCATTCATGTAACAGTCCTAAAATGGTGGTACGTGGAAATAACCAAAGGTGTGTGGTCACCACAAATTGGAGATGATGAGGTAGGAGGAAGGTGACTTGAGGGAAGTGTGGCAGTGGGAGCTGAGGATGAGGCCTAGTGGTAGAGCACTCACTAGCATGCATGGATCCCTGGGCTGCATTCCTAGTGTGGCAAAAGAGGTACACATGATAACGGAGATCTTTGCAGTAATGGAATAGGCTGTATCTTAATTGCAATGATGCCTATGTGACCAAATCTTATTCGTATACATTGTGCTGATGTCAGATTTCCAATTTGCTTCCATAATGTATTACGTTTCTTTAAGGTATAACCATCAGGAAAACTGGGTGAGTCATATATGAGGTCCCTGATGTCTTTTGGCAAATTTCAGTCATTTGACAAGTTTAAAAAAGGAAGAAGGAAAGCAAAATTGTAAACTAAAGATGACAGGAACAATATATTAATATGAAATTGGTATATCTAACATTCTTGTAAATAATATTGTAAATTTATTTGGAACTCAGATATCAAGGATAAATTTATTTTTGCATTGATGAAGCTAAATAAATTTGACAGGACAAAGATTCGGGGTAAAAGCAATGTTATTATTAAAGTATAAAGCCTATTGTGTAGGAACATTCTTGAAATTGGCCAGGGTGTTATATAATTCATAATACAATCAAGCTGTGATGTAAATGCCATAGTTGTCAACATTCATTTTTATTTTCATAGAAATATTAAGAACAAATGAAATACATTTTTTTTAAGATAATGCTAACTGCTAAGGGACAAATTAGCATCTCAGAATATGATTTTTATTTCAGTTATTCAATAATTAGTAGAAGGACCACATGTGTAAGGAAAGTATTTTGAAAGTTGACTTCATAAAAAATGATCATAAATAATGACCGTATGGTATTCTAAATGAGATTAATCAACATTAATAAAATATATTTGGCTTAAATTATTTTAAGTGTCTATAAAAATATAACTAGAATTCTGAATATGTTCCATATAAAAGAACTGGCTCTGACTTTAGCAACTTTATCATGACCTATAAAATGGGCTTTTCTTCTGTCTAATTGTAAGTATGATGCTGTTTAGAAATGAGTAAATTGACATATTAACAATTTCACATGTGTTAACTAAAAAAGGAAATCTGGATCAAAGTCATAGGCAACATAATAAGACATTAAAATGATATTTGAAAATAGTTGCTTTAAAAATACCAAAAGTGTGCCCTTAGAAGGAGACCCAGGTAAGAAAATAAAGCACCAATTATTTTATTTGTATTGTTTTTAATCAATGAAATCACTGAAGTTTTGGCTTTATGTACTCTGGTGTATTTGGTAAATATACATAGTTTTAGTTTTGAGTGTAATTATTTTTAGGTCTACCAAAATAATGAAGCCTAACTTTTCAGGCCTTAATTATCAATATCAGTAATTGCATAATTTTAATTTTTTAAATGTTCCATCTTCCCAGTCAGTCCACCTTATTCACTGTTCTAAGACTCTAGAAAATGCTGGAAAATTGCATTAAAAACCAAAAGAGAGCTTAAGAGACCAAATTCACTTATTTCAGAATTTGGGAGAAAATGAGTTAAGAACATTTTCTTTCATACAAAATTGCCTATATGCATGTATATACACACAAGGGTACAGATAAATAGATTGGATAGATGGATAGGTAGATGGGTGGGTGGATGGGGGTAGATGGATGGGTGATTGGAAAAGTAGATTATGGGTAGGAAGGAGGGGAGGAGAAAAAGAAGGATAGAGGCAGGGAGGCAGGGAGAAGGGAGAGAGGGAGGGAGGAAGTTAAAAAGTATGGAAGGAAAAGAAGGGAGGAAGGAAGAGAAGGCAAGGAAGAGAAGGAAAGGGAATGATAGCAGTGCTCAATGAGTATGTAGAAGGCATGCGTACTTCACAGTACTTCTCCATGAAAATATCAACAAGCCTATTTAAAACCAAGATTCTACCTAGTTAAATCCACTATGGTGGTTTACTTGTTAACTTATTTAACCCAGGAAGGGTATCTATGACATATCCAATATCATAACCATCTTTAAGCTTCTAATTTGATGACTAATAAGCCTTTCTCTGAGGAGTTTTAGTTTCTTTGAAATGTCTATGTGTAAAGTGACATCATACTGTCAGAACTATAGCTTATATAAAAACTGCTAATGAAATCTTGAATCATGTTGCAGTAAACTGACGACTTAATGCTGCCTTGGCACAAACAGTATTTCATGATACCAGATGGCACATGATGTTCTAGAACTATTCAATAATTTCTGATATTTAACATTCTTTTGTTTTATATATACCCTATGGTTAATAGGCAAGTCACACTACCTGAATTTCTGTGTAGGCTATAATTCCTCAGGTGTTGGGAAATTATAGAAAAAATATTTCCCATATTTCTTTTGCAGAATAGATGGAAGATTCCCAATGAGCTTCAGGTAGAATTAACATATTCTTTAGGACAGTTGAAGAAGTCTCATGTGTAACCAGGTGATATAGATATTGTGAGATGAAGATAATAGAATCTGTATCTTTTTATTCACTTTCTTATGCAGCATTAATAGAGTATCTAGAAGCATGTATTACTCTAGCAGGATTAGTAGGATTTTTAAGGTCTGTAATGATTTAAAGTGAAGTTTTATGCTTTACAGCTAATTTTTATATTTTTCCTCAGTGGTTTTACATGTATCTTTTTGCCTCCTTTACATGTCACCTTTTTCCCTTCACATATTTCATATGTATTAACATTTGATAAATCCTATGTTAACTTTTCCAGGAAGCATCTCATTTACAACTATTACCCCGGTATCTACAAATGCACATTATAGTGGAAAAAGCTTTGGTAAGTCAAACTGTGTTTCTTGCCTTCTTTCTCTCCTCCCTCTCTCCCTTCCTTACACCTTCCCTTCTGCCCTTCCCTTTTTCTTTCCTCTTACTGAAAATTTCATCTTCATTTCAAAGCATAATAGATTTTTTTCATTATTTCCAAATAAGGATATTTTATGTGTGTTACATAAATTGCTATGTGACCTTTGCTTACCATTATGAGCACGAGGCCAAACTGTCCTAGACCATCTATGGATCTGCTGCCCCACCCCAGCGCGGCTCAGTCTCTCTTTTCCTCACCCACTAGCAGCCTTGCCCTGCACTTTCCTGCTCCTGCCTTTCTGGCCACATCGTTTCCTTTTTACATGGACAATTTTAAAAATCTTGTATAAGGCACATTTACTTGATTTTTTTTATTTTCCAAAAGCTTTAAACTTAGTGCTTTGTTCAAATTAACATTGTTTTAAGTTCCTCCATAACTAATATGTCACTTCAGTAGTAGTTTGATGGGTTTTAAAATATTATTTTAAAGCATATTTCAGTACAGTTTTCTGATGTCAGTATACATTTGTCTTTTGCATTAGTACCAAGGGATCAGTGGTAATTATCAAGTACAGTGTAGTAAATGGGGATTCTGCTTGAAAGAATCATATTTTACTGGAAAAAACAAATATGTAACAGGAGAATTCCAATGTGATGCATTATGTCCTTCAAAGGAAATATATTCAAAATGGAAGAATATAGAAAGATATAGGAATTATTAAGAAAAAATTCAGAGAAAAGGTTTTTTGATAAATAGCTAAGATTATCAGAGAGATACAAATGTGGGGATCAGATGCAGGAGTCTGAAAGACAACTCCTGTTGCTTCCAAAATGATGAGCAGTGTGATATAGCTGCTCATGTAAAACGAGATGTGCACAGTATGAATTGGCATCAAGTAAGGCCACTGCATCCCAGCCTAGGGTAGGAGCTTGCATTTTACCTCATATGTAATGGGAATATATTGAAGAATTTGCATAAGGAGAAGGAAGTAGAGGGAGTCCAGACCATAGACTCAAAGAGCAGTTAGAATCATATAAGTAACTTGTGACACTGGAGGAAAACAAATGGAGCAGGATTTGGGAGATGTTGGCTAGCAAAGAAATCAGCTGTGTATCCTGCACAGAAGCTCTAAAGCTGAAAACCTAATCTCTGGTAACTGAAAGTTGTTTGAGAATTGACATAAAGACCTTGATAGAAAAATCAATGACAGAATTATGAAACCAGAATTTATAGAGCACTGAGAATAGAATCACAGAAACAGTGGGAAGGATATTGTCATAGTTGTCTGGAGCTCTGTTGATAGTATAGGCATGTTAGGTAGACACTGACTTTGAGGAGTAATACAGAGGAGTATCTTCCTAGCATGGTATACAGAGGTATAGATTACATAAAACCAAAGGCACATTGCTTTGACTCCTTATAGATGTGTATCCCAAGATAGTCATGTATGTACCAGCTTTAAGCATTCTCAACCTCATGCACCTTTCCATTCAACATGTCCACAAATTTTATCTCTATCAGTTAATGTTGCTAACTTATAAATATCTTGGAAATGGAATCACAGATTATCTACTCTACAGTATTAAAATTCTTTTCCTCTATACAGTGTCTCTATGATTAATTCATATTATTGCCTATAATAATGGTTTATTCCTTAATGTGAATAACAACTTGCAGTTATTATGAATAAAATTGTAACTAACATTCTCATGTATGACTTTTGGTAGACAATTTCTTTTAGATATCTGTGTAGAAGTACAATTATTATGTTGTAGGGTATATACGAATTCAAGTGCTATTGATAAACAGTTTCAAAAGTGATTATGGCAATTTTTTCTGCCATCCAGAATGAACAAAAAAATCCAGCATTGTCACAAATGATTAGTGCTAATAGTCTTATTTTTAGTGATCTGACATGTGCAGTGATAATATACTATGATTTTTATGTGCATTTACCTAATAATTAATGTATTTTCACATGTTCATACTGCTGTTGACTATTTAGGTATTCTTTTTCAGAGTAAGCATGTTTTCCTCCCTTACTTTAATATTTTTCTTCTTGCTTTGTGGGAATTCATTATATATTGCAAATATGGTTTCTTTGTCTGATAGCTATATTGAGGATATGGTCTCCTAGTCTGTAGCTTACTTTTACACATTCTTAATGCTGTCTTTAGATAGATACATGTTCTTAATTATAATTAGTTTAAATCATTTATTATTTTTTACTACTTTTTAACTTAAACACTATTTTATTAATTCAAGAACATGACTACTTTATGTACATTTTATTTTAGAATTTTTTTCCTTTACTTTCTGAGACAGTTTTTTAAAATTTTAAACAGAAAAAAAAAAAACCCAAAATAACCACAAAGACAAAAATAACACAGAAACAGTAAAAACAATACAGGATTTCAAAACAAGATGATAAGAATTAACAATGGTTGTTATATTACATATTGTTATCTTCAATGAAGTTGCTCAGATTACCAGATGTAAGAATGTAAAATTGATCAAACAATTAAAGAGAATAAAAAGTAATAACAAACTTAAAGATGATACAGAGCTTCACAAAACAAGATAGTGGGAATTCAACAGTGGTCGTTACATTGCATACTGTTGTCTTCAAATTAGTTGTTCAGGTTACCAGATAAAGCATGCGGAATTAGTCAAGAAAAAATTAAACATTAACTGTTCCTTTCAATAAACCAATAGACATCAGCAATACAGTTATCTCAGCTGTCCTTGTATATACATATATTTTTTTTTCTTTCTTTCTCTTTCTTTCTTTCTTTTTCTTCTCTCTCTCTCTCTCTCTTTCTCTCTCTCTCTCTTCTTTCTTTTCTCCTTTTCCTCATCCCAGTTGATCCATCCCTTTGAGCCCATCAGTGGAGGAATGGATAGAAAAGATGTAGTATTTTTATACAAGGTTTTTATAGGTAAATGGATGCAGCTAAAGACCATACTCATAAGTGAAATACATGGGACCCACATGTGTAAACATCATTTCATCTCCCTAAGGTAAGAATCTGAAAGAGTAAATAAAACCCAAAAGGTACAATAGATATTGTTCAGACAGTTTTTAAAATCTACCTTTAATTGTTAAATGGATATGCTGTGAGATAGAAATTAAGGTCTATTTAAAGTTAATTTTCTAATTATTACCTTCCCCTTCTTAAATTATTATGTACCGTCTTCCAGTTCAGTACTGTTTCCAAACCAATGGTTTGGTGCATTTCTCTCTTTCTAATATAGTCAAGGTCTAAGTTTGTGTATTGTGGGGTTGTAATGTAATGCAAGTTTGTTGCAGTTTATTTTCATTAACATTTGCTTTTTTATTTCAAAGAAAAAAACAATTTCTAAACAAGATAATAGAACAATAACAATAATTAATACATTGTGCACTGTTACCTTCAAAGCAGTTACTCAGAGTACAAGATATAGGCATGATATCTTATCCAGACAATATTAGCACAAACCTTTCTTTTCAATGAACTAAGAGAAACTAGCAGTATATCTTTACTATCTTGTGTGTATATTTTTTCTTTTTCCCTTCCTTCCTTTCCTCTTTCCCTTATCACAGTTTCTCTTTCCCTCATCACAGTTTCTCTTTTCCCAGTTCACAATATCTGCTGTACGTTTTGGATCTTATTGACTTGTTCAGGTGATACTAGTGAGACAATATGATATTTAAACATGTAGGTCTGATTTATTTCACTTATGAGTATGGTCTTAAGTTGTATCCATTTATCTATAAAAGTCTCAAGTTTTTCTTTATAGCTGAGGAATAGTCTGTTATATATAAAAGACCCACATCTTTTTTATCCATTCCTCAGTTGATGGGCATTTGGGTTGTTTCCAAGACAGCTGTTACAAATTGTGCTGCTATAAACATGGGTGCACATATATCACTGTGGCATGATGTTTTTAATTCTTCTGAGAAGATACCTACAAGAGAAATAGCTGAGTAGAATGGGACCTCTGATCCTAATTTTTTGAGGAATCTCCACACTGATTTCCACAGTGGTTGCACCAGTCTACACTCCCATCACCAGTGGAGAAGCATTTCTTTTTCTCTGCAACCCCTTCCAGCATTATCTCAGCCACCTTATCTTTCACAAAGGGGTCAAACATGTTCAGTGGAAGAAAGACAGCCTCTTTAATAAATGGTGCTAGAAAAACTGGCTTTCCACATGCTGAAGACTAGACCCATGTCTATCATCATGCACTAAACATTTTCTTTTTATGTAAAAAATATTTTTTCAAATTCATTATGTGTGTTTGACCCTTGTTTAATTTTGAATTGTATTGCCCTAATTGAAGATTTTCATCATACTGTGTAACCTCAATGTTGCAGATTCTTTGAAATGTATTGCAATTTCCTGTTGTAACCAACATATGATCATTGATCAATTTTGTAAATATTACATAAGCATTTGAAAGGATTTACTGTATTTTTTCTTTTTATATTATGTCCTTCCTTCTGCAGAGCTGTACACATTTTAATGAGATCAAACAAATATTTTAATCATATTCTTCAGGGTTTCTGTGTTTACTGAACTTGTCCTCGGGTTCTGTCAGTTATTAAGAAAATTGTATTAGTCCCTTAAACAATAATTGTACTTTCTTCAAGTTTCCTTTTAATTGGGTCAATATTACTTATCATGTTTAGATGCTAGATATCAGTGCCTACTGATTAAGCATTGTTATGTTTCCTCTATACATTGATTAATTTATCTCAGGAAATATACTTTTGGAGCTAACAGTTCCATCTGCAGTGTCATGATTTTTAATATGGAAAAGTATGTTTTACTATTTGATAAAATCTTAAAAAATATTCACAATTTGTCATTAATTAATAATTTTCTTATTTGTATATTTTCTGGGAATATGTTTCATATATTTATGCCTTATCAGGAACAATATCTTTTGTACTATATGGAAACCATTTTACCTAAAATATATTTAATTGTAAACTTAATCAATGAAAATATATGATTAATTTTACATTACCACTTTTATCAGCAGTAATCAGTAATTGTACAACTATTTCATTAATTATTATAACTGTGAGCTGTTAGCTATAAACATTCTTAAAGTTAAGTAGGAACTCATTTTCAGTCTGTAAAACTGACAATTTTAACAAGAGTATTAAAGATTTTCCATTTGAGGCTCCAAGGAGGAGAGGATTCACTACGTCACCAAATATGAGCCCATATCATCTCAAGAGTTTGCTAAACTCAGAGGACATTTTCATCCTTTTTTAACACATTATCTCATTTTATTCTTTGTCAAATCATTTGTTGCAAACAATTCGCACTATGCATTATGGAAATTTCTATCTTTTCTTCTATAGATATATTTTTGAATTTCACTTAATTTTTCTATTTATTTGTTTGCTTACCAAGCGTGCAATGAGAGACATGTTTTTTTTTGCTTTTTTGCTTTTACCAGGAATCAAACTCACAACCTTGTGCTTGCCAGGCAGGCACTGTGCCACTGAGCTAAATCCCCAGCCCATGAGAGACATGTTGGTTTGCTCTGTTTCATCGAAAATTCCTAGCTAAAGAAAGTTTGTTTACAGAGAAAACAATACAGAGAAATCTGTATACAGATTTTGAATACAGAGAAATCTATAGAATTCTCTATACAGAGAAATCTCTTTGAATACAGAGAAATCTATAGAATTATTATTATTATTATTATTTGGTACTGGGAATTGAACTCAGTACCTTGTGCTTGCCAAGCAGGTGCTTATGCCACTGAGCTATATCCCCAGCCTGAAATCTATAGAATTATTTTAATACATCTTGAGCATTTCGATTTCTTCTGTTTAAGGAAATCTTTAAAGTGTATAGCAAGAATGTTCTAAATGCTCAGGTATGGTGTTTTTTTTTTTATGTGTTATGAAAGCTGTCATCTCTATGTTGTTTGACAAGCCCTATGCTTTTCCTACTGGTATTACCATGATATCCATATCATCCAGAAATTGCTGCTGTTTTTTAATAATTGGAATTTATTTTCCAGTTTGATTACATGGGACCTGAAATGATGGCTTTCACACACAAAATTATCCAGGTTATTGGGCTTGTCAATGCTGTAAGTTTTTACTTTTTTGTCTTTCTAGTTTTATAAAAAGTCATTGGAAATAATCTGTATATTTTAGTATAGCAAATGAACAACTTAAAGATCTTTTGTTAGTTTACTACTTAAACTTTCTCTTCATTTTATGTACTATTTTAATGTGGTGGTTGATGTCACTTGAAAAATATAAATCTTATTTTTAGATGTTTACCCAGCTTAAATTGACTGTTAAGCTGTCCTCTTTGGAACTGTGGTCAGGTAAAAACCCAATTTCAACTGATGGAGATGCTGATGATATATTACAAAGACTTTTGGCATGGAAAAGAGACTCTCTCATCCGTCGGCCCTATGACATAGCATACTTACTTATGTAAGTGTGGTGTTCTTCATTAATACAAAGATATCTATAAGTATTTCCATTAAATTGGTACATTTAATTTAGTGTCTTTCATTTTTTGTGTTCAGTTTTCTATAGGACCTTTTCAAAATGTATGTATGTATATATATATATATGTATGTGTTATGTATCTATCTAATCTATCAATCTATCTATCACTTATCGATTCAGAGATGCCATGGAGATGATAGATGAAATATAATTAAAAACAATAGCAATTTATTTTGTAGCAATATATTTTAAATTATAATTATTGTGAAATTGTATTTTATGAATTTTTGGGATGTTTACTGTAGAATATATATATAATTCTTAACTTATTAATACTATAAAAATTTACAGTATGTGGTTAACATTGAATTAGTGTTTTTTGTGTCTTACTTTTTTGACTAAGAAATAATTTTCTGATAATAACTTTGCTTTAAGTAAATATTTTAGGAGCAGTAGGGTTGTTTTCCCATAAATTAAAAGTCACTTTTTTAACTTTCAGTTGACCAAAACAGTTAACGGACCATGAAGGGAACTAAGCTGAATTTCAGATAATAACACTACATCAAAATTAAGAGTTACATGAGGAAAGAAAGTGTGACATTAAAATCAATTACGAGTATTTTATATAACTTATTAGATATTATCAGATTGGAACTTTATATGTTTACAAAGTCATTTTCCAAAATTTAGGAAAAGGAGATTTAATTTAGTATATGTTCATAAAATGTTCTGAATATCTATACTAATAAAAAGTCAATAATACAATGATGTAGTTACAGGAAACACCCCCACTACATGGGAGCAACATTTCCGGGCAGAATATGCAATAAAAAATACAATGCGGGTACTGCGATGGTATGTATTTTTAATCTTTCTTTATATTACTATTTTTACTTTATATTTTATAAATGCTAGTATAAGTAAATAGTTTATAACTACTGGCTTTTTCTGTATATGGTATTGTACTATTATATTATAATAAAGCTCTTAGAATTTTTTAAAATTCTAAAAATGTTTGAAATGTACTAACTTCTACTCTATAGAAGGATATACATTTCAAACATAAGAAATATAATGCAAACATTAGTACAGTCATATACCAAGTAGTTGTAATGTTTACAAAAACTCTCTCAGATTTTTAAGTAAGTCTAACAGTAGAGCAAAGATGAAATTCCAGAAGCTGCAAAAATCATTAATTTATGCTTGCTATTTCTTGCTACTACTTTATGCATTTTTTCAAATGTACATATCCATATGCAAGGTGGTAATGTTAACATTAGCTGGAGAATGTAATTATTATGCATTGCAAATATACATAGATTAAAAAAAAAGGAAACTAAAAATAAGTCTTGGTCCAAGGTGTCTAGAAAATTTATCTTCTATGAAACAAGTCCCTAGTGCCAAAAACGTTGGGGACTGATACTCTATATTCTATTCCATTTTTTTACATGTGTATTCTTAGGCCAGAACTGTGCTATTTTTGTTACTCTAATGTTCTAGGGTATTTTGAGATTGCCTATTGTGATACTTCTAGCAATGGTCTTTTTACTCAGGATTGTTTTGGCTATTCTGGATCATTTTTGGTTCTCTATAAGTTTTAGGACTTTTTTTCTAGTTCTGTAAAGAAAGTTATTGGTGTTTTTACAAGATTACTTTTTTGAATCTGTAGATCACTTTGAATAATTTGGCTTTATTAACAATATTAATTCTGCTTATTCATGAATACAGGAAGTAATTCTGTCTTCTAATGTCTTTTTCAATTTATTTCTTCAGTGTTTTGTAATTTCATCTCCTTGGTTAGGTTCATTCCTACATGTTTAGAGTTACTGTGAATGCAATTGCTTATCTAATTTCTTTCTCAGTGGGTTGTTTATTGATTTATCGAAATGCTATTGGTTTATGTATATTGATTTTGTATTAGGACACTTTTCTGGATTTTTAAAATCAAACCTAAAAGCCATTTGATTGAAATTTTCAGGTTTTTCTGCTGTACAGATTCAATGCAATTCTCATTAGGTTACCATTAGTGTACCTCACAGGTCTTGAGAAAACATGCCTTGAATTCATCTGGAACCAGAAGAGACCCAGAATAGCAAAAGCAATCCTGTGCAACAAGGACAAGTCAGGTGAAATCACAATCCCTGACCTGATATTATACTACAAAGCTACTGTCATAAAATCAACCTGGTACTGGCTAAAAAACAGACCTGAGGATCAATGGAACAGACTGGTTCCAGTTGAATTTTTGACATGTTTTCTCTAGATCTGTGAGGTAGACTAATGGTATTTTGATTAGGATTGTATTAAATCTGTATAATAGTTTGCGAAATAGTGCTATTTTCACAATGTTTGTTCTTCCTATCCATGAGCAAGGATATCTTTCTATTTTCTGAAATCCTCTTCAATCTCTTTTTGCAGAGTACTGTAATTTTCAATATATAGGTCTTTTCCTTGTTTTGTTAAATTGATTCCTAAATATTTCAATTACTTGGATGCTATGGTGAAAGGTATGGTTTCCTTAATTTCTCTCTCAGTGTGTTTGTTGTTTGTTTGTTTGGGTTTTTTTTTGGTGTTTTTTTTGTTTGTTTTTTTTTTTTTGTTTTTCTCCGGTACCGGGAACTGAACTCACGACCTTGCACTTGCCAGGCAGGCGCTTTTGCCGCTGAGCTAAATCCCCAGCCCCTGAGCTAAATCCCCAGCCCCTGAGCTAAATCCCCAGCCCCGAAGGAAAGGAATTTGTTGTTTGTATATAGAAATGCTTTTGATTTTTGAGTGTTGATTTTGTCCAGCTGCTCTACTGAATTTGTTTATTAATTCTAGGAGTCTTTTGATGGAGTTTCTAGGGTCTTCTGTGTAAAGCATCATATCATCTGTGAATAGTGATAATTTCACTTCTTCCTTTCCTATCTTTCTTCCTTTTATTCCTCTGTCTTGTCTAATTGCTCTGGCTAATGCTGCCAGAACTATTGACAGATTCCTAAATATGTATGAATTACCAAAGTTGAGTCAAGAAGATATAAAAATCCTGAGATACCCCATATCAGTTAATGAGATTTGAAAATGTAATTAAAAACTTACCAACAGAGAAAAGCCCAGGTCCTGATGGATTCACAATGGAATTCAACAAGAAATTCAGAGAGGATTTAAAACCAATACTTCTCAAACTCTTCAGTGAAATTGAATGGAAGCAATTCTCTCTAACTCATTTCTGGAGGCATATATTATTCTGATACCAAAACCAAAGAAAAACCCAATCAAGAAAGAGAACTACAGACCAGTCTCCCTAAGGAACATAGATGCAAAGATACTCAATAAAATACTAGCAAACATAATGCAACAAATCATCAAGAAAATCATACAGCATGACCAACTGAGATTCATCCCAGGGATGCCGGGATGGTTCAATTTACACAAATCAATACATGTTGTACACCATATCAATAGATCCAAAGACAGAAACCACATGATCATCTCAATAGATGCAGAAAAAAGCTTTTCACAGAGTCCAACACTCACTCCTTAATGATAAAACCCTACAGAAAATAGGAATAGGTGGCCTTTACTTCTATCTGATCAAAGCCATCTATGGCAAACCAACAGCCAACATCATACTAAATGGACAAAACCTGAAAGCTTTCACTTTAAAATCAGGAAAAAGGATGTCCACTGTCACCACTCCTATTCAATATATTATTTTTTGTTTGGTCTTAGATTTAGCTTTTTTTTGTAAAATCTTAGGATGAATTAATAGGTTATTTATTTGTGACATCTCTGTTTTTTATGTAGGCACTTGTAGTTCATACACTTTCCTCTCTGAACTAATTAATTTTATTTCATAGACTCTGATATGTTCTTTTCACTTTCATTTGAGAGTTTTTGAATTTTTCCCTGGTTTCTTCAGTGACTTGCTGAATCTATAAAAGTGTATTATTCAATTTCCATGTGTTTGTATTTCTGTGATTTCCTTTGAATTTGATTCCTAGCTGCATTATATTATGATTTGATAAGATGTATGAGATTATGTCCAAAAATTCCTGTATTTACTAAAATTTGTAAATGTGGTCTATTTTGGAGACAGCTTCAGAGCTGCTGAAAAGAATGTGTGTTCTATAACTGTTGGATGGAATATTCTATAGATGTCATAGGTACATCTCATCCATAGCATAGTTTAACTGTAAGGTCTTTTGATTATTTTGCCCCGGTAGGCTACTTTTTGTGAGAATCATTCACTGTAGTTGTATTGAGATCTACTTTTCCCTTGATGTTAAGTAGTGTTTGTTTTATGAAATTGTATGTGCCAGTATCAAGTGTCCGTATATTTGTAATCATTCTATCTTCTTGGTGGATGTTCCTTTTACAAATATGCAGTGATCTTAGTGTTTCCGTAGACTAATTTGTACTTGAATTCTGTGTTGTTAGATATGAATATAACTATTCCTGTTTTCTTTCACATTCCATCTACATAGGACATTATTTTCTATCTTTTCACTTTCATTCTGCATATGTCTATGCTAGCAACGTGTATTACTTCCAGGAAACATATAGTTGGGTCCTGTATTTCAATCCACTTTGCTAGTCTGTGTCTTTTAACTGGAGAACTAAGACCATATACAAATAAGATTATTCTTAAAAGCTATGTACTAATTCCTATCATTTCCTTGTTTTTCTGATGTTCTGATAATACTCATTTACTTGTGTATTCTTTCTCTTATGTGTATGTAGAGCACCTTTAAATTTCTTTCATACTAGTGATTTAGTGGTCATGAATTCCCTTAGTTTATGCTTATCTTAGAGGGTCTTTATAGCTCTTTCAGTTCTATAGGATAACTTTGCTGAATGTAGTAACATAAATTGCCAGGTATTTTCTTTTAGCCCTGAAATATATCATTAAATACTCTTCTGTCCTTCAAGTTTCTGATTAAAAGGCTGTTGCTGTTTTAAAGCTTTTAAAATTCTTTTTTTCTTGACATTTTGACTAAATATGAAGTGGGAGATTTCTTTACTTTTCATGTCTGTTCAGGGTTCTAAATACCTCCTCTACCTCAATATCCTTATCTTTCTCAAAACTTGGGAAATTTTCTATTATTTCACTGATTTTCATGACTTTAGTTTGCATCTAAGACTCTTCATGTATTCCCAAAGTTTTGTCTTTATGTCATTTTTCAGAGGTTTTACATGTTTATTTCATAGCTTTTATTTTTGTTTCTTTATTGCAGTCAGTGTGATAATTTATCTACTATCTATTTAGGGTCTGAAGATCTGTCTTCTGCTTAATCTAGATTATTGATGAAAATTTTCACTGAGATTTTAATTGATTTACTGAGCTTTTAATTTCCAAGCTTTTTGATTTTTTCAGAATGTCTTTTATTAAAATGCATTTTCATACCTGGCACTTCTTCCTTATTTCAGTTTTTTTATTTGCCTACTCTTTGAATGTGTTGATAATTTTTATAATCATTGTTTTGAATTTTTCAGTATTACTCCTTCTTTGATTACCCTTGGAATTAGTTACAGTGGAAGTAAAAGTATCAACTTTTGGAGGTGTCATGTTATCTTATTTTTTCATGTTTCTTATATTTCTATGTTGAGATTTGTGCATTTATCAGGTTGGATATATCTCCTACTTTTACATGAGGATCTTTTTGGAGAACAGTTACCTTTTGATGATGTGTGCTGATATAATGGATTGTTGTGGAATGCTGAATATATTTTCAAGTAGGTTTCATAATTCAGTTTCTCTGTTACTTCTTTGGTGATGATAAGTATATTTTGACACAGTGCATACTTTGTCAGATACTGAGAGTCTCACAAGAGTAGGGTTCTTCTATTATCTCAAGCAGTTATGTTGTACAAGC